CTGGTATCCACAACTGCGGACAGTGTTCAAAACAGATCGCCTTTTTGGCCATCTAAGACAGGTGATGTTTTTATAAGCTGCTTAAGACATGTAAGGAGTCCAAAAAAATGACCAGCTGGTAAGTCGGTAGAAATCAGAACAGTTAGATCTAGTTATGCATTCAAGCAAAATGTCAAGAGTGGAATCACTGACACTTACCAAATAGATGTTGAAGTTTTTAAAATATCTTTTAAATTTTTGTATAATATTTTAGATCCTTGACTTCGGCTTGGCACGGCAAACAGATGATGAAATGACCGGATATGTCGCCACACGATGGTACCGCGCACCGGAGATTATGCTGAATTGGATGCATTATAATCAAACTGGTACGGTTTATAATATCTGTTTTTTCATAGGGTATAAGAGTGGCAACCTTTGAATATTTATTAAGCTGATTTAATTATATTTACAGTTGACATATGGTCCGTTGGTTGCATAATGGCAGAAATGCTCACTGGTTCCCCTTTGTTTCCTGGCAGCGATCGTAAGTCAGTTTATAACTGTATGAACTGTCTGTTGTATTTTGGTCGTAATAATGCCAAACCCACGGATTGCCTTGTGTGTTCATTTTGTTAAAAAAAAGACAAATTTTTTACAGTGATAAAGCAGCATTACATGTTTAAGTGTGTCTTGTGGGTTTTCGCCTTTTCTAGTAGTTCTGCTTATACTGTCTCTGTGTCTTTCAGGTTTGAGATTCAAAAAGAACGGTGTTTATCTAACGAACGGTCTTGGATCCTGATACATGTCTATGTGCATCGTGTTTAGTGAACCGTGACTTATTTAAAGTACACATTGTCTGTAGAATGTTGAGCTCAGTTGAATGATCATGCGTTTGAGACCTAGCGCCATCAAGCACTTTACTCTTTCTTAGCATAGTAGCGTGTGCTGCAATGCGGATATGATACTGGAAACAATCCATCTAGCTCTAGATACTACTCTCAGGATCGCACACTTATGATTCATAGCATTGTAGAAGTACTAACGCCACATCATTGGCGCCGTTGAGGGATAGTGCAGCAACTAGCACTTATCATGGAAATATAAACTAATTTAATATCTGACGGCTGTAATATTTCTTTTCCTTCGATTCTTATTGTATGTAGCATGATATGAATTAGTTTCGAAAATCTGTATGGTTCTTCATATGAGATTCTTAATCAGTACGCATATACGGCGGCATATGCTGTAATCATATTATTGAGATAACACATCCTTAAGATTCATGCAATATTTCGGAGGAGACAATGAGAAACTATTGCTCGCGTGCGTTTATTTTCTTCGTTTCTCTCTCCTCTGTTGGAATGATAACTTTTACTGTAACCAGAGCACAAATTTAGACATCGATCAGTTGACTCGTACTATGGATGTGGTTGGTACTCCTAGTGACGAAGTCTTGCAGAAGATGCAGTCTGAAGAAGCGCGTTGCTACATTATGAGTTTACCGAAGCACATGAAGAAGGATTTCAGTACGCTGTT